TGATGCATGACGATAATATGATGATGATGATGATGTAAGATGGTGTATTGATGATGTAAGGCTATGTAAGATGCAGGGAACCAACTACCGGTGCGCCCCTGAACAGGTGGGTGTGGGGTGGGTGGTGGGGGAAAGACGAACCACACACGATTGAAGCTGCTGCCAGGGCAAGAGAGTATCAAACGTGGTGGGGGGTGGGGTGGGTGGTGGGGGGTGGTGGGGGGAAATGGGGTGGGGGTCGTACACCACACGGACCACAAATCACTCAAAGGAAGGGCTACACGGCGGAAAGGAAGGACACGGTTGATCATCCCGTGGAGGTTGGCAAGAGGGGAAAAAGAAGCTGTAGCAGGGGTGAGAACACTCCGTACCGTACACGCAGTACGGCGACGAGTTTCCCGACACCAAACATTGCGTTGTGGGCCCAACGCCCACCACCCGCCCACCACCCGCCGTGTCCACCCCTCACCCCTCTTTACACTTACTTGTACACTACGCTCTCTACGTAGGCGTTGGCGAGGTCAAGCACGTGGCTGAGGCACTTGTTCCAGGCGTGGAAGGCGCCCAGACGGGGGCCGTGCTTCCGGAGGCGGAGGCTCAACGTGAACAGCATGCGCGCAGTCCTACAGCCACACAACGGCACGGCAAGGGGGGTGGGTGGGGCTGGTCAGTGGGGGGGGGGTACGGGGGTAGGTGGTGGGCGGTAGGAGCCAATAGCGCCACCGCCACCGCCAGCAACAGCAGCTGCGGCGGCGGAGTCGAGGTGCAGCGTAACCCATCACCATCATCTCAACCGAGGTAAGGGGAGAGGCATACAGGCAGTGGAGACACACAACCGCCGCAAACTCACCCCCCCGGCTCAGAGGTCCACCCCCAACCCAACCCAACCCAACCCAACCAAAACTATATGTAATGCAGTGGAATCCCCCCCTTCCCCCACCTGCACCCGCAAACCCCCACCCCCACTACCTGTACTCCAGCGCCTTGGAGAGGAAGGCGGGGTCCCTCAGGTGCCGCGGCTCCGTGTCGTGTGTGACCAGCGGGTTGTTGGGCAGCGCCCCCAGCAGGGCCGCGCGCAGGTAGTGGTAGGTGGCGGTGAGGGGGGCGCCGGAGAACTGCTGACGGTACTCCTTCAACAACATGGCGGAGACCTGAGTTCCGCACGGGATGGGAGGGGAGAGGGGGAGAGGGGGGAGAGGGGGGGGGTAAGATAGGGGTTTAGATATTAATTAAGCGCCGTGATTATAACATACCTAGCAAACGCGGTAAGAAGCCCCGTTAACGTAACACGTACAAGTGAAAACGGCTTTGACGCGGCAGAGAAAGGAAGCCCCTCCCCTCCCCTAGTCCTGTGCTAGGAGGCTGCACTACCAGCACCTGCTGCAAGAGGACGGTGTTGTCGCCCTCGAACGTCTGGAAGATGTCGTGATCGGACCGCAGCGCCCCCAGCCGGTTAACGGCCGCGTAGCCGTGACCGCCGCACACCTCCCGACACGTCGATAGCGCAGCCTGGGTGTACGACGTCGTGTACGCCTTGAGCCCGGCCGACAACGCGTGAACCTTTTTTTTGTTGTTGTTGTTGTTGTGGGGTTGCCGTGGGGGTTAGGGGTAGGGGAGGGAGGGAGGGGTAAGGGAAGGGGTATCAAACACTATGAAAAAAGTCGTAATATTGATAAAATATGTGAAGGTGCATTTGGGGGCTCCGAATCCGAATCAAAGGGTACAATGTACGACATACAGAAACTAGGGAAGCACTCACAGTTGGCCCTTTACGTCTTGCGTATTGTCCTCCTCCAGTTGCACACACACATACACACATACACAAAAATACACACACACATGCACCGACTCTCACCACCCACCCCACTCACTTCCCCCGCCCCGCTCTCACCTCCTCCACCAACTTGGGCTCTCGGGTTCTCTTCATGTCCACGTACTTCTCCACCAACAGGCACTTGGCGAAGTGGAGGCCGTACGCGGTCGCCACCAGCGGCATCAACCTAACCTGGGTGGACTGGTAGTCGAGTACGGCAACCTCCGGGGAGTCCGGGGGGCCGAATTGCTGACGGAGAGCCGCGTAACGGACCGCAATGGTCACCGCGCCCTGTACGAGTGTACGAGTTTTGGGGGTTTGAGGGGTTTCGCGGGTTTCGAGCGGGCATTAGGTTTTGTGTTATTATTGGGAATCGGTCGGTTGGTCGTTTGGTTAGTTGAGGGGAGAACGTGAGTGGGAAGATATGTAAGCCGCTGTGTTTTGCTTGCGTGACATTGTTTGGTTGACGAGAATGGTCAATAAAGGTTAATGATACATTGCAATGATACACTTTCCAATGTACGAGATAATAATTACATCACTACCCATAACAGACGCCTCACTCAGTCCTCATCTACCACCGCCATCCCCCCCCTTCTCCCTCCTCTCCCCTCCCTGTACCTTAAGGACCCCCACACTGCCGGCCGTCAGCCCCACTCGGCCCCCAGTCAGTTCGCCCAACGTCGCTGCGAACCTGAAACGGGAGAGGAAAAGTTAGTTCGTATGCATGTCAGTCACATCTCAGACATCCATCCATCCATACATACATACATGTTGACGGAAACACCTTAAATCAACTGCAATCAAGGACGGAAAGGGCCACACCAGGGGGTCATCAATCGCCGCCGGGGGGTCATTGACTCCCCCTCATTGCCATTTCTCTTCCCCTCCCCCCTCCCCCTTCCTCTCACCTCCTAGCCTGGCTGGTCAGCGGGCTGCTGTACCTGCCGCTCTTATCCACAGACGCAAACCGGTCCAGCAGGTTACCCCGCGGCACCCGGACGTGGGTAAAGCGAATGGCGCCGTTGTCGATACCGTTGAGGCCCACCTAAAGAGGGGAAAGACGAACCACGAACGAGTGAAGCTGCTGCCAGGGCAAGAGTGTACAAGAAGTAGAACTGACCAGTAGGCGTTCTTGAAGGCGCCGACCTCGGGGGTGGGGATGGGTGGGTGGGTGGAAGCGACCTCCGTACATGTAGGCAGTGGACGAGCACGGACTGACTGACGCGGCCGCAACGAAACACTCCCACCTTAACCCCAGGATGCGCGTGCACACACGTACACACATACACACATACAAACACACAGGACCAGGGCGCACTGCAAGGTGAAGACAATGTGCAGTAGAAGACGAGGGGGAGAGAGAGATGGGGAGAGAGAACCCCCCACAATTGAAAAGATCCTAAAAATACTGCCAACAGCAGCACCACCAGCACTACCACTACCACGAAAACGCAATCCGCACCATAACCACCACCACCACCACCACCACCAGCAGTCGCTGCTGCAGCACCAACATCAAGCTTTAAAGGAAGTAGTAGTGGCGACCAGACATGACATTCACCACCCGACACAACACACCCACACCTTGTAGCCGCAATCGCGGATCTCGACGCCAGGCAGCAAGTTGCCGCTCTCATCTCGTAACGGTACGACAAAGGCATGCACGCCGTGATCCACAAGCTTGGAGCCCCCGTTCGGGTCGGGCACCTTGAGCCTGGGAGGGGTAGGCAGTTATTACGGTTATTACGGTTAGTATTATTATTACGGAATTATTACGGGCTATGATTATTGGGGGTTCATTTCATTATGGACGGGGGTTAAGGGGGCTTAGGGAAAAGCCTAATTAATACCAAGCCTGACATAACCTTCCTCCTTCCCCTCCCCCTCCCCTCCCCTCCTACTTATGTCTTGTATATGCATACATACATACAGCATACATATATACATACATACAGCGTACATGCATACATACCTGGCAAACACCGTGGCCGCCCGGCCATCCTCCGCCGCGTTCCCGATCCACCACTTGATGGCTCCCTCGTCCGGGGTGTGGACGACCCACTCGTCCGTCAACACGTCCAACACGGCCTCCGTTTGGAGAGCCGCGACATTGCTGCCTGCCGGCCGGGAGCGCGGTCACATGCCCCGCACGCGTCTGTCTGTCTGCCTGTCTGTGTCTCTGTATGTGCGTGTGTCTGTGCCTATTTGTATGTGTACGAAGAGCAGGAGAGACATGGACTTGCATGCGCATAGGCATTTTTATTCAGTGTGTGTGTGTGTGTGTTTGTGAGTGTTTGTGAGTGTGTGTGTGTGTGTGTTTGTGATTATGTGTGCGTGTGTGAGTATGTGTGCGTGTGTGCGTGTGTGTGAGTGTGTGTGTTTGTGTGTGTTTGTGGGTGTGTACGCGGTTCTCTGTGTTTCCTGGATGTACATTTTATTATATGCACACATGTACACCTTCACGTGTGTTTTAGTGTTTTTATACTTTTCTACTACATGACTGTGTGTTTCTTACATTTTACTAAGGGTCGGGTCTCTAAAGGTACCCACCATCACTCATCACATGTGACGTCGTACCCAGCAGCCCGCCTCACCGTGTTTCAGTTCCGTCATCGCGAAGCAACCCGGCAAACGAAACTGCGCAATGTCGTCGAAGTACCGGCGCCGGTGCGCCTCGCTACCCAAGTTAAGAACTGAGCCGCCCCAAAGGCTGTACTGCACACCGCTCTTGACCTGTTCATGGCGGATATGGCACAAAAAATTCACAACTACATTCTCATATGATACATATAATAAAACATTCCAAATATATATACATATATATATCAATTTTTATTTTAACACACAGTTGCTTCGAGGGTGGTTTTTCCGATTTGCATGTTTGCGGGTTGTACCCACCATCAGGGACAGGTCCACCATGGAGAGGCACTCGCCCAGGTAAAAGTACTTGCGGGGGTCGCGTGCAAGCAGGTCCAGGGGACTGTAGCCGGCCTGAGAAGGACAAGAGGTATGATGAAGGAACACGAGCGGCGGCGGGCACGGGGTCAGAGCGATAGGCGGCGGGCATGAGGGAGTGATGGAGAGCGGGCAAAAGTACTACCGAGGGTGTCGACCTTTGTTGACCCCATTTTTCCCCCCTTCTGCCCATCATCTTCCCAAACGCACCTGCAAAATGACCTTAAGCGAGCGACGAACCAAAGCACGGTGCTCCTCTGCAAATACGACAAGAACGACAGGCAAATGCCGCAAACACGGCGGCGGGCAACAGGCAGCAAGGGTGCGGAATGGTGGATAGAGGACTTATTAACGAGGCTTATTAGTATGAAATAATAATAATAATAATAACAAATATGCACCAGGACACGATCACGTCCTGGAAGGAGGACCAATCGGAGAGAGATGCTGGTCGGCCTTGCGGGCAAGGCAAGGCCCAGGGAAAAGCGTAGTTATGTATCTTTCAATGGAGGTGTAAGATTGGATGCTCCATTGCTTCACCTATTTGTGAGTATCCATATATGGTGCCGATCCACCTAAACCAGAGAAAATGATCGCCACTTCTCAGGAAAGACTTGGTCCTGGCGAATTCCCCTTTCCCCTACAACGGAAAAACTCCCTCTGCCCCAGGGGCGATTGGCCTCGACCACGAAAAGTTCGTCATTAAGCTCAACACATCTGGTTAAGTGAAAATGCATTTCAGCGTTGGCTACAGGCAAGAAGCACGTGTCCGCCTCGGAAGAACATTGAAGCGCGTCATGGGTCGTTGACGGGTGGGCGCTGACGTGTCCCAAACAAACTAACCAAAGGCCGTCAACGGACCGCAGCTGGTGCTGGGCCAGTTGATTGCCTCTTGTCGCGCAGCAACTTTGGCAACAACTCACCCTTGGAAAGGCCCTCCTCCACGTTGGGAAGGAGGTCCGGATGTTGTCGAAAGAGTTCGTGGACCCTTGCCTTCATTTCGCGCATGTCGTCCAGGTACGTCTCCATGACGCCCGGGTCAAAGCGCGGCAGCATTTTAGCAGTCGATCGGGTCCGAGCCGGAGTCGTTGCGGCGCACGGAGCCAGAGTTAGCTGTTGCTGCTGGTCGGGGGCAATGCTGCGCCATTCCTGCGCCATGGCCTGCGGAGTGGCCGCTATCGCGCCGACGTGAGGCCGAATTTGACAAAGCAAGTGCTCAGCTGCTGAGACGTGATACAATTGACCGTGAAATTGAAACTGCAAGCTGTGTGGGGAAATAGGCAACTTTTAAAAACTGAGCTCACGTCGGGGTCCTCCCTTCAGTGTATACACTGTTACATGCACATGGACGACAGTTTTTTCTGATGTGGCAGCTGAAAACATTGGTACCGGAAGCTACACAACCGTCGTGCCGTGCTGACTCGGCACAACCGCCCTTTTCGCTTCTCCGCCGCAGCACCGGTTTTCTCTGTGCAGACTCAGTTAGTTCACCGCGTATTACTTTTCAGTATCTCCTGTATGAGTCTCTTCCAAACAGGAGATACTTTGGGAAGGCGTGGCCCATTCCTTCCCAGGGACTACTTTTCACCAAGCTTCAACACCTGCCCGCTACCTCTCCTTATGTCCTTACCTGTCATCCTTTATGCGTACAGTAGTGGTTCGATAACCTTTTCATGGTGCAATATAGTATAAGTGTCGCCCCATTCCTTTTGTCGCTCGGTTCGGAACGTGTCTCGATGGGTTAACGCAATAACATACTCGTCTCTCGAGTTCTCATTAAAAAATGTGCTGCCGCGGCGGAGGAAAAATACAGTCGAGCTAGGAACAGCACTGACCCGGGTTCAATGGGGACCCTAAGGAAGGGTAATCAGAACCGAATCGCAGACCATATGCGGACGGGTGAGCAACACGGAGGACGGGAAGGACCACAACAATAGAACTCCCGGGCGTGCACTGCTCGGATGGCAGGTGATGATGGCTGGGACAGGACGGACAGGCGTATGGAACGGGGAACCGTGTTGAACATTAGGCTCAAGATACAGCATACCCGAGCTTACTGATCCAACTTCGTTTAAAAACCTAGCTTACATTACATGGCGCTTTGGACACAAATCCAACAGGCTGCAAAACCTCAGGTACTTACCACAGGTTGCACCAATAACTAAGGGTAAGCGGACACAGCTGAAATCCAGCCACTTTTCCCCTCCTTCCTACCTCCCTCCGCCTTGCTCACCCCAACTCAGCGACTTTCCCTTAAATAATAATCCTCAATAGCTTCTCACAACCAGCAAAGGACTAAGCTTTCCAAAAGCGCCCTGCAAAGCGCCCTTGAAAGCCAACCTACCTAGCTAGCCCGCTACCGCTACCACTGTCACAGCAGCACAGAAGCGGGGGACATATCCACTACCGCAACGTAATCATAAGGTTGGCAGCTGATCACATGGCGGGTGATGATGATGATGATGATGATGATGACGATGTAGAGGAGCTGCAAACGACAAAAGGTGCTGCAGTAAACTGCAGCACTGCGCCGTGTGCACAGATGACGATGCAGCATGCTCCAACCCTGCCGTCGTTTCGGAGCTTGAACCGCTTCGGAGGCTGGGTGGTTACCCGGGCTGCTTTGCTGAGGTGTCCGCATGTATGTATGTCCGTATTGTAGATGTGTATGCATTCACCTTCTGCCTTTCCCCTCCTCCCCCTCCTGCTGCTGCGGGCGCATTCCGTACGTCTACCTCTTCCTCTCCCCAACTACGGCAGCGCACATGCGAGTAGGGAATTCGCTCTCCTGGTCCTGGTCCTGGTCCTGATCCCACAATCACGAACCGGGGTATAACACGGAATGCAGTACAAATGCAGTACAATAGCTAACTAAGGATGTACATCACATAAGGAGCCCAACGCACAATAGAGACAATGATAGGCCCTCCGCCCACATGCATGAGTTCATGTGCCCCGCATAAAACACCGTGGACCGCGATTTTCCTTCATCTCTTCCTAAGTTAATCGAGTTGACCCAGATCTCCATTACGATGATGTATGTTAAAAAATTATTATACAGTTGGAGTGCAAGAGTTGTGCTTTCCAGACGTAACACGCGCCCCTGCAGCCATCACTGCTACGGCCGCTACCGCCGCCGCCTCGATGACAGGTGTGCCGTGTTATTAATGCACCGCACCACCGCGGGAGTTACCCGGGGATCCGACGAAAACTCAACGACAGTCAAACCCCCCGGACTAACGCTCATCAGCCGCGCACAGCCACCAGTACCGCCGTTGCCCGCCCCCTCCCCCTCCCCCTCCCCCGCCCCCCGCTGGGCCCTCGGGATACCAAGCGCCGCCCAAACTACGCCCACGTGACTCTCAGCGTCGAGTACGACAAGCACATTGCCGTACGACGAAGAGCGAGCGTCGCCTGGCGGCGGCGGCGGTGCCGCCGTCACCAGCGATGATACTGCACGCTGCCAGATGGCCTCCGCTGGCGCACTGGACGGCAGGAACTCCACCGCAGCGGCACTGCCGCCATCGCCGGCACGGCCTGCATGCTCCGGCGGTGGCTTCACTGAAGGTGGCGGCTGCTGTCCCGCCAGCAATGCCGTCGCAGTGGCCGCGCTGACGCCAGGACCCGCCAGCACGTGGGTTACCTGAGTTGGTTGGGTTAGTTGTATTTCGTTGGTCGGGTATCGTTTGAAATATGTTGGTCGGTTGGTCGCCTCAGCTGGATGTGCTTGGCAAATGAAGTGGGAGGGATGCAGATGCCTTACGATGCCCGGCGGGGACCAGGACGAGATGAACCGGAGGTTAGTTGTGGTTGAGTCCGTTGTAAAACGGACTGTTGGACCGTTGAGTTGGTTATGAGATGACAGACCACTGCATAGTCGAATCCCACAATTACGAGTCTCGGAGGTCTTGAACTTTAACGTGTCGGGGTCAGAGATACATACATAAATACATTAGGCAGGTGGCTGGCAGAAGTTAAGGCCTGGCAGAAGTTAAGGCCTGACTTGTGCTCCCGGAGGTTCCGGGCTCAGATCCGCCTGCCGACCCCTCGGTGTGTGAGGGGTGTTGAATTGGGAGGTGGCCCCCCATCTTGTGGACGGTGTGGGACGTGATTATATCAACTTGCGAGCTGACCAGGAAATAAGTTGTGGCGCCGTTTATCCGCTAGATTAGGTTGGATGCTGGTGGTGAGTTGCTGAACCCAACGAATACGTTCTGAAGTCGGATGGGGTGAATGGATTAGGGTGCCCCTCTCGCAGGGGCGAGCAGGGAACTGCCTCCAAGGGAAAGGGGGCCGCTGGTGAAGCTATACCACCCTGTAACAACATCATACATACATACACAGCGCATTTGTCACCACGGCCTTTGGGGCCTCCGCTGTCTCGAGCTGTGTGAGGGTGGGACCTTACAAGTACATCATGGTGTTGCCGCCCTTGCAGAGTTCCTCCGTCCTGCTCCCTGTTCTGGACCCTCCCATGCTCTTCCCCCCCCCACACACCAGATCCCTACCTGCAGCTTGCTCAGCACTGCCGCCAAGGAACGCAGCTCTTCCTCCACCTCCTCCTGCACTTCCAACAGCATCTCCCTTTTCGCCACTATCGGAGGTTGCTGTGCTTTGCGCCGCTGTGGATGTGAAGACGACGGCGGTGTCACCAGCACCACATTCGCCAGCACCTTGTCGGGGTTCTTGAACGGGTTGTCCGGGGACTAGGGGTGTACGTGTGTGAGTGCGTATGTATGTATGTAAGATAGGAAAGAAGGGAGAGGGGAAGTAAGGGTGCGGAAAAATACGGAATACAAAGAGAAGGAGTGTGGTTGGAAGGAAAGAGGAAGCGGAAGAAGAGGACAGATATGCGTTGTTCGCTGAAAAGCATGTACTACGAAATGCGCTGGAGGGGCGTGGACGCTCTCAGCGCTCAGGACTTTTTTTTATGATGATGGATCTATGAGGCGACACCACCAGACGTCTCTCGGGGCTCAGCTGCGGCCATCAGGGTCCAAAATGCGCTTTGCCCCGAGATACTCATTCTTGCTTGTTTTGTTTCCCTCTTCTTTTGTTATCCACTAGGAGGGCCAAAACCCTTCAACCCTCACTGCTCCAATCCGGATCGCCGTCGGCAACCGACCTCCTGCCCCGCCTAACGTGAAAAACATCTTTCCGCCCTCCAGCAGTTACCCCTCCAGGAGCCAACTCGCACACACACACATATGCGTACAGACATACATACATACATGCACGCGCCCCGACCTTGCGACCGCTGCTCCAATTTTGCAATACACAACTCTCCCGTGTTCATATATACACACCTGGTTGAGGCAGGACAACGTAATCCGAACGCCGCTGCTAGCGTTTGTGTTTGTCACGGTAGCTGTTGAGGGCTCCAGATCAATGACGCTCAATGCGGCGTTGTTTTGGGGAAGCCGTCTGCGCGCCGAAAATGGTCAAGGGAGGTGAGGGGGAGAAGTGGGGCGGGAGGGAAAGGGGGGACACCGGTGGGCTTTGCGTGTGCGTCTTCCCCCTCCCCTCCTTTTCCCTCCCCTCCCCTCCCCCTCTCCCGCACCCCCTATCCTCATCCAAAACATACCGTTAATAGGCGCTGCAAACCGACCTCTAAAGAAACACATGTTTCGCCGTCCCTTGAGGAAGGCAGGTGAATCCAGAGACCCCCAAGAGAGCTTTGCTCTGTAGCCCCCTGCTTGTATGACTGGGATACGCCGGACGTGTACGCCGGACGCGTCGTACCGGAAATATGACGGCGGCAGGCCCAGTGCGGTCGCGACGAGAGCTTGATTGATTGCGTTATGAGCCACCACGAGGACTACCCGCGGGTCGGTTCGCGCAACAGCCTCCGCCGCCGGTCGACCTGCTGCTGCTGCTGTTGCTGCTACTGTCGACCCCCCGGCGCCCTGTTGGGGCCGCTGTAGCAGGTTTCGCCAGGCTAGGGACGCGCGATGCCAAAGCTCCCTGCAGCCATACGATTAAACCCCGCAGGACAAGTTTTCGTGATCACATTGAGCGCCGCTCTTCCATACTTCCATTTCAAAACCCTAAAACCATTTCAAATTCTTTTAAAACCCTGAAACGTCGACAAGCTATCATTGCCATAGTCGTCACCAGTTCATCAGGAGTTGGGACGCGGGACAGAACCCTAGGGCCCCTAGGGCCCCTCAGGCAATGAGAGAGGGAAGGGCCTTGAATGGGAGGGTGCCGAGCCCTGGGAGCTGGGGGAGGTGTGGGTGCGGACGAAGGACGGTGGCCCGCGCAGTGGAAAATACATGCGGTGATGCCTCCTCGTCATGAGCTTCAGAAGCAAGGGCTGTCTTTCGGGTTTGCGGGGGCGAACTTCAAAGACTTTAAAGACACGTACGTACATACACGTGTACACAAAATGTGTACACAAACGCATATTGCTATTAGTTATTTGTTGTTGTCGTTACATCATTATCATTATCATTGTATTGTATTATCATTTTACCATTGTTATAATCATCATCGTCTCCATGTATTATATTATAGTATCTGGTTGTTATATTATCTGATGGTATTGTCATTATTGCTATCATTTCGCCCAAGCGGCATCGCCCAAACCCACATAATCTCTCTCTCCACACCTTTCCTCCGCAAACACGCCCGTGTCCAACACCAACCAATCAAACAAACAACGAAGCAATCAACCAAATTAACGAGCTTGACAACATACTTTAAGCGACGGACGCACCTCACTGGCGCGTGAGAGTTCAGTTCAAAAGTATGCGGCTCTTTTTGCCATTTGCTGTACTGATCGCCGTACAGCGCCTTGCCCTCGTGTTTTAGCAGGCCCTGATGGCCCCCGCGATGGAAGGCGAGGTGGGGTGAGATGGGGTGAGGGGGATCACTTCCGGTGGGTGAGGGAAGGTGATGTGAGGGGAGGTGGGTAGTTACGATTCAGAAAATAGCACACGCATCGTGGTTGAAGTCAGAGTGGCATAGAGGGGAACTGCTGGTGGTGATGATGGTGGGTGTAGTGATGGTGGTGGTGGCGGAGGTGACGCACATCCGCACATCCGTCGCACGATATGTGGCGAGGTCGAGACTGCATAATTACTTTCCGAGTACTGGAGCTCACAGTGATGCTGCTGTCGCGGCGATTGCTACTGCTGCTGTACCGCAGTCAACAGCCAAATTACCCTTAGATAATCTGACTTACATTGACTAGATAATAGAAATAAGATCAACCATGATTACAACATCAGCAGCAACAGCAACAAATCCGTCCTGCTCAGAACGTTGCTCTATCCCTCACATTCCCTTTTTTCAGTGTTTGCTTGGGTGTCTCTTCAGGGTTGGTTTTTATCCGAGAGCTGTTCCCCCCCGGCTTGTGAGAGAGACACCCTTCACTTCTGGAGGGTTGAGGGGTTGATCCTCCCTGCACGCCGTCAGGACGCATCCATCCATTTGGGGGTTGGGGTTGGGGTTGGCGCTGAAGGCGGACCTGGAAGTGATAGAGGTCGATCTCCCGCAGTGACGGCAGCGTAATCCGCCGTACGGTATCGGAGCCGCTGATGACGTCCTCCTCCGCGTCGACGTCCTCCTCACCCATCCTCGTGGATTGCCCCTGAGACGCAAAACAACGGGGTTCATGGATTCCCGCCGGGTGAGCGGGTTCGGGCTGGGTGGTTTTTTGTGGACTGGAAGTGGCACCGATTCACCGCGTCCCAAACGTGCGCACAGGCCCCACCTGCAGCACCACATCTGCTGTTTGCCGAGCTCTGGCCAAGGGGCTCTGAAACACTGCGGAGAAGCGCATGGAGGACAGCTGTATGGGGGGAGGGAAGTACGGCGCGGTTGTAATTGCGAGGGGAGGGTAAAGTATGGGTCGTTAGAGGCTTAGGACCCTTTGGACGTGAGTTGGGCGTAGGGTAGGGCTGGAGGAAACATCCAAACGGACCATCGATGCAATCGCGAGCTGGTAAAGTCAGCAAATCCACCAAAGCCTCACCATGTCGCGTGTTTTCTCAGCTTGCTTGATTCCCTTTTCTGTAAGCACTGATAAATCTGTGCTGCCCTGGATGCGGCCTTCAGCATTCCAGGTGCTTTGACCATGCCGGACGATGACGACGCGAACTGGCTCGGTGATGGACGGCATGGGAAGCGGTGGTGCATCAATGCGATCTTTGAAGCACGTGAACTCGTCGATGCCATTCCAGAGCGATAAGGAGGCTGGACCGGAAATGGCGACCGATGATGCGCGAAGCCTGTCGCCCGGTCCTGGGACAGCGCCTGTCATCGATGTGGCACTGTAATACTTATGTGAAATATGAGGCCCCAAAGCCCTTGGAACATGGTGCATCCGCAGAAAGTCTCCACCCAAATTGCCATGACTAACTGCTTTATGCAGCTTGCAATGCATCGTATTACCACAAAATATTCCCGCTTTCTTGTTGACAGCAATGCGCTTTGATGCCTTGCAAAGAAACAATCCAGGAATCTTCTCTTAACAGCTGTAGTCGTACAGTATTGTGTGGCGGTTGGTTGCCGAACCCAATATGTCTCCCCATCCGCGTTGGAAGCATTCCCAGCCCTGTAAACTCACATCAAAGGCCAGGCCAGGATCCCACGCGCCCCATCAGGTGGCCACGGTGGCCTACAGCATAACTACACACGGCAGCCCTTTAGTCCGAACCCACAAACGGGGTTATTAAAATAACCCGAGCTCGAGTGCGCCGGGGAGACGGCAATATCCCTCTTCTACTGGAGGCGACGCGTTACACCCGGGCACGCAGGAGCGGCGCAAAGGGGCAGAATGAGGGAAACAGAGGTGTATACGGGTATGATCAAGAACCGCGCCAGGAGGGGCAGGTGAATGTAAAAGCCGTACGATAGGCAAGGAATAGCATCACATGCACAACGGTGCACCAATGATGCGAGCTGAGCTGAGATGCGCTGAAAGAGCTAGGCTAAGCAGGGCTGGCGGCTTCAGCTGAGATCCATAATGCAGATATACACACAAACACATCCGCGGATTTGCGCGCTAAAGCTTTCTCACGGCGGGTAATGCAATTGAGGTGGCAGGAGCCCTCGGGCGTTGCTTTAAGATACATCCCAGCCTCAATGGAGCATCGCTCCCCAGCCGCCAGGATTATCGTTGTATGGGTTTGGATACTGTAGGGCCAGACAGGCGATGAGCTCAGTAAATATCCTGCGTCGCGTGACGAGGCGTGTCTTCCGACGTACACACTTTGTCTCGCTGGAGACATGACGGTTTATTCTGGTAATGAATTGATAATAAGATAATTCATTCCAAGCTAAATTATGACCTTGTAAACTGTATCTACTGAAGTCCGAGATGCCTGTAAAGGTACGACAATATGGAACTCATGTTGACCTTGGGCCACGTTTCTGCGGGGTTAATAACGCAATTTTGATATCGTTTACGGCGACAACTAGCTGCAAATGTACAACAGCGCGCCAGAGTACCAAAGTGGAGTAACCTGAGCAAGAGCTGGCAGGCGACAGGCCGTATATTTCCATTTCAGCTTTAGGAAGCGCTAAATGTAAGATACTTTTGACATATTATATGAACAATATGGTTTACTAAGCTCATAGGCAGCGCCGCTTAGAAGCAGGAGGAATCTCAGCCCTTATGGTTGGTGGCTTGCCGGCGGGCCGGGTGGCAAAATGACGCTTTCAAGGGCGGCCTCTTTGCGCTCAGCAAATTCTGAAACATCTTCAGCTGGTGATGCGACTGAGCGCCTGCGGAAGCGGTAAGTGCCAGACATGTAGAATTGACGCCAACCGCCGTTACACACCCAACCACTGGCGCTCTATGACCTCAAAATCTGCAATGATTATCTTTAAACATGTTGTGCTTTGGAAGCAGCCCCAGAGCACTAAAGGCTCCGGGTCGGAAGTACCGGGCCTTCCATGCGTATACACTTATCTCAAAATGCTGACCCGGTCAACGCTTTGACACGCTAATACACCCTCAAGTGTGACATTAAGCGTTGAAATCTGTAATAACCTAGATAGCAGTTTGTTTGCTCAAGGCCGGAGTCCAACGGCGCTGTTGCCTCACTCCTTCCCGACGACGATAACTCAGCGCTGCGCTTCGCAGCGCCGTCCCGGGAACCTTAGCAGGCCTTAGCATCGGCTGAAGACACCTTAAGCTCTTGTTTCTGACGCCACTTAAGTCTTTTCCTTACGACATGAAGCGCACACCGCCGCTCCATCCTCCCAAAGCGCTCGCAACGCATCCCCAACCCTTTCCCTTGGCACTGCCTCATCCTAACTTCGTCCCTTTATTCCCAACTGAATCCCCATCACTCCGTTAAAGCTTCATTATCCACTTAAATGGATGACTAAACGTATTATCTAATGAGATTTTCAAACCATTTACGTCCTTACGAGTCTTGTGCTACAGGGAGCCGCAAGTCTCCCGGCCTGGATGGGAAGGATCGTTGGAACCCCTGCAGGACGGCATAGCCACGATTGCTACTGTTATCATGTTTCATGTCGAGCCCTTTCCATATATTGATTAGCTGAGATGCGTGCCCTGCATAATTAATCTGTGCCCGCCGGTTCCTCGCAAGCCGCACAGCAAGCTGACAGGGCCCTGCCCGCTCTGTCCTACGTCACTGTCGCCAAAGGCTCCCATGACCGCCTCTTCCACGTGCATGCCTCCTGCAGGCATGGACTTGGCACAAACCAGGATGGAGACGGGGAGGAAGAGGAGGACTTGCTGGAACAAAACAAGACACTGCAGGAGGCGGTCTTCAGTGCAATGTGAGCGACGGGCTGGCAGACAGGCAGACAGACAGCCAAACAGACGGACGGACAGCAAAACAGGCGTGCGGTGCAGTCGAACGAGCGAGCATAGGAGGGAGGACGGGAGGCAGGGAAAAGATATGGAAAAAAAGGGCGGGAGGCGCGAGACACGCTGAGGGGCTTGATGAGGGTGGAGGGCGGGGCAGGTTACCAGGGCGTGCGTTGGTAGCCGGAGCGACACGGGAGTGGAGTGTTGATGGTGGGTCCAACATAAAAGAGGTAACGCACCGGTGACGGTCTGACTGGCTGGCGATGGGGGTGAATGACTGGGTGAAAGACTGGCTGGCGATGGGTATTTGCCAGCTAATGAATCCAGGGGGTCTTCAGCAATACATTCATTCATTCGTCGAGCCTTTCACATCCATACAATAGCACATTCCGAGAGCACGTTCCCTACAGCCTTATGGCAGGCTCAGAAAAAACCCGCACGCCAACGTGTACGAGCTCTTCCACTCACTCTTGTCCCCCCGATCAAACTCCCTCGGGCTCGGTTTCACGCACACACGCAATAAGCCACCACGACCGGCCCCCCGCTCACGCGCATGAGCGTCCTTGCTGTGGCTGGGGCGTGCTGCAGGTACTGCCTGTCCCGCAGCCGTACTGCTGACAGTTGGCGCTGGGCGACACTGAAGCTGGTCTTGGAGGGCCTTGTGCCCTTTCTAGTTGTATTCAATCCGCACCATTGGCCCCTGGACACCGGCAACCCAGTTTGGCAGGTGGTACGGTGGGCCCAACCGGTGACCCCTGTTGCGACTATCTGGGTGGGTGGGGTGTGGCTGGGGGGGAAGTGGGGGGGGAGTTCGTTAATGGTTGCGTGCATCATCATGTTTTACTTTGACCGTACTGCATTACTGGGTCCGATCCAATAATGGCATTGAGTAATCCATTAGTAATTCATTGAGTCAATCAATTGGTTTTGGCCATAGCCGCAACACCCCACTCGGGGGCAGTCAGGGTCATCACCAGTGCCACTTGCCCGGCGCCGCCACCACCAGGGCCGCCAGGACCATAGGCATCAGCACCGCCACCGCCACCGCCACCGCCACTAACCCACCGGCATTGCCAGCCGCAGCAGCAACTCCCCCTTCCCCCTGCACAAAAGCACAATTGCCAGCACCAGACACAGGTCCAGCACGAAACAAGAACATTTCCTTGTCCAATCATACCTACGTATATTGCCCGCCGTCTGAACAGGGCTATCGTACGTACGTCAACATCTTTTACGCGCTTGTGTGCCTTATCTATTCGGTGGTGATTTCCATTGGTGTCCTCACGCTGGCCATGAGGCGGCAGGTTGGTGGTTGGTTGGTGGTTGGTTGGTAGTTGGCTGATGGGTGATTGGAATGGAGGAAGGGAGCCGGGAATGCCTGGCATGTATTGGGCAGGTTACGGGCTCAATGATAGTTGATCATCTCGACATCATGACGGGAGGGGTTCCGTGTAAGGCGTAGTAAGCGTTGTCTCCTTATGACACACACGCATGGCCCAGTTTTAACAACCCTAAGTTACAAATTCCGTCTGTGTGTGTGCGGGGGGGAGCCCCGATCCGTAAAAAAAGGGGGGGGACAAATCAATAATTTTATCTTTTTCCCCCACTCCCTGGGAGAACCTCCCCACCTTCCTTGCCAAACCATGCATGTATTGGCCGTCGCGCGGCGCGGCCATACTACAAAAGCACATCCGCCACACACCCACACCCACCCATACTTGCCCATCACCCGCCCACACACTGCTGTTACCGGCGGCGGCGGTGGATGCTGCTGCTGCTGCTGCTGCTGCTGCTGGTGGTATAGGAGCACTCCCGGTGGCTTCACCGTTTCGCGCAGCTGCTTCAAAAGTTCACCGATGCACTGTTCAACATGGCCTACGTGGCCGTGTTCGACTACATCATGTTCCTGTTCAACTGTCGCTTCGGATCTCCGGGTCACCCGCACAACTACTGGAGCGACGTGCGTGAGTCAGCATTCTTGGCGTCGTCCGTTGGTTGGTTGATCGGTTGGTTCGTTAGTTATTCGTTGTCGTAAAATTGTTACTTGACTGAAAGGACGCTGTACGGATGATGATCAATGGCATACGATTTGTGTACAACATCAGTTGTGAGTTCCTGGGACTGAGAGGGACTGCATCGAGTGAATGCCCCATGTGTGCGCGCCCGTCAGCTAGGGGCTTTCCAATGGAAGCAGAGATGTCTCTTTGGTTGGAAGAAGAAGGAACGGCAACTTAAAGAACATATCTCACGGCGGCGGCTTGACGGCAAAATAGCAGTCCAAATAAACCACACACATGCCCACATATAGGCTCAGCGGCATTAAGGGGCCCCATGCTGCAGCACAAGGGATATCGCTCGAATTACTACTACATGTTCATGCTGCCGTACATCACCCACGTTTTCACCTCCGTGGCCCTGACCTCCTCCTCGCTCTCCACCGCACATCTTATATGTCCATATGTATGTATGTATTTATGTATTTTATGTACTTATGTATTTTATGTATTTATGTATGTCGTTACCAGAATGCTTGTCAGGCCATCACATCATCCTGCTGGCGGTGGGCGCTGTCACGGCTGTCGTCTTCTTCCTGGCGACGGCCCTGATGGTGGGTCGATTTGGTAAAGCTGATACACAAAACGATACAGCGCAGCCCAACACAGCGACGCAAGGCGGAGAGCAAAATAACTCCGTGATAAACCCTCCGGATCCTAGCCAGCAGCAGCAGCCTCTTGTGCTTCAAATACGTCATGCCTGCTTTTTGCAAAATTTGCTTTATCTGGTCAATTTCGCTTAGCTTACCATCGAATATGGTTTTGGGGGAGTTTTGAGGGAGGTAGGACGGATGAAGTGATAGGGGGCCTGACGTGGCCTGACGGACCATTGATGATCTGCTGCTGTAACCAAGTTACCGTGATAATGAACTTATAAAGAGAGCATCCGAACATCATCTCCCATGATTGCTTTTTTTCTTTCCCAGCCCTGTGCCCTGTGCTACCTTGGAGCACGTACCCACGCATTACACGATTTCCCCTCACCGCCGTACACACGTTCGTACATTCGCAGTTGGTCGCCAGCTGCGATCTGAGTCCGGTGGCAACGGGCATAACTGCTTCTCCGGCCGCCGTGACCAGGCTTCAGGTGCTGGTGCTCAAGGTAAGGGAATTGGAGGTTGGGAGTTATATGGGTTGGTTGGTTGGTATGTTTGCGCTTGGGTGACGCAAAACAATGTACTTTTGTTCATGCACATAAAAGATCCAGATCCAAGTAACCCTAAACACTTTCACAAAATCCATGTTTCCATGTTTGCATACCCATTCCATGTTTACCCATACACACATAATCATATTCTTGTATTCAACCCCCGTCCAGGCTTTGTTTGTGGTGGCTGCTGACACGCTAGTCGCTGTTGGTAAGCCCCAAGCCGTGGTGATGCTGGTGCTGGCGCTGGGAATCTGCTGGTTGAACTTTCGGGCGGTGAGCGACTCTTGCCAACAGGAACACACACAGACACAGACACACACACAGACACACGCAGTATGTAGGGTCCGTACAGGGTTTCCGGGTTTCCTCTTTCTTAGTGAATCCCCCTCCCCCCCGAGAGCCGGATCAGGCCGGGGAGGGAGAGGGGAGTCTTGTTGCGTGTTTCAGAGGCTCAGTGAACGCAAACTCGCGTGATGGAGCCTTGACTCGTGAGAGCGTGCGACGCCTCCCAGCCCCCGGGGGGGAGAGCGGAGCTAACGGACCTGCGGCTCTCGGCTGCTTAGGAGAGGGCATATAGGCCCCTCACGCCCCTCACGCTCCCGTCCGCGGGAGAGAGCTTAGGCGGTCTTCTGGGCATTCTTCTACTTGTTACTTCCCACACATACAGACACGCACACAGACACATACAGAGACATACACACGCAGACACATACACAGAGTACATACGCACATATCACGTACTATTCCCCGTCCCGTAAGCATCCCGCATCCAAAATCCTCAACCCCCCAACCGCCTCCAACTACCTCCAACTACCTCCAATGACACCCTGCAGCTGCCCTTCCTGAGGCTGTACGTCAACGACATCTGGGTGGCCGTCTGGGTCGCAGTGTCGTATCTATGGTACGCACTACATGATGCCGTACGCGTAATGATACCGCGTAGGAGCTGCGCGTGCATGGAAAAGCAACAAGAGCCCCGCCCCGCCCCGCCCCGCCCCCGCCTGCTTTGTGTGGTGCAGCAAACCCTAGAGAGTGTTTATCCTCTCGAACCTCCTCTTCATCTGGCTGAAATTGACTTTTGACGATAGGATGGTTCGACACCTCACAGCAACTCTTAAGGGACTGTGACCTCCAATCTGTAGCACCTCGTAGATTGTACGTACGGCACACACACATCGTTTGTAAATACGCGCTAGGGCGCTCTCCACCAGCATCTTGAGAGGCGTTTTCAGCGGCCAGCTGCCGCACAACCTCAGCCACTGACTCCGGCCACCAACTTCGAACCGCACCGGCCGTCTGCCGTTGGACCCCTCAAACGACCTTTCCCCTTTCCCCGCAGCACGATACATGTGGTAATGGATCTCCGTAACGACAAGGAAGCCGGGCTAATGACGCGGGTGGGTCATGTGCGTGTGTGCGTATGTGTGTGCGTATGTCTGCGTGTGTATGTCTGTTTTTGCAATCGTGTACCTGTGGTGGCGGTGGTGGTGATTGGGTAGATGGCGAGTGGTTTCAAAGAGAAAGACTAAGTTATTGGCGGCCGATGATGAGAGGTCGCTGGCGGCCAGGTCGTACGTGTTGGTGGGTATTCCTGGTGGTGGTGGTGGTGGTGGTGGTGGTGGAGCAATCCTCACGTCCGGCGGTCTGGGGGACAGCGATGGTGTAGTGATGGCTGCAGGGAGCAATTGCTGCGAGAAATATAACGACCACCAACTGACCAACCGACCAACCGACCAACCGGACTAAAGCCTGAAAGGAACTTGAAGAGAGCGGTCAGCTGGTGGTGGCTAATTAAACCAATGGCGAGCCGCACGTGGGGTGTCCAGCACAGCATCGGATTTTACAGCCGGAGAACATCATACAATTGTCTATTCCCCTACCACTGCAAACCAACCACTGTCCAACCCATTCTATTCCCCACGGCAACCCAACCATCGCCTAACTTGCGGTCTTGTCCCCTAGCAGGTCGTACTGTACGGCACATTTCCGGCGCTGGTAACCGGGGCTGTCGTGACGGCGGTATGGTCTCGTTGGCGATTGCGCCCTGCTGCCGCCTACCGGGGTTTGGATATTGTCACGGCGCGTCAGCGCAAGTTGAACAAATTTTCGTCGCCAGGTGGGTGATGGTGGGTGCGGACGGGTTGGTGGCGTGTGCGGGTGGGTGAGGCGGGGTGAGGTGGCGCGGAAGGGCATGGGACTATAACTGGGGCTATAGCGTAGCGCTGCTTCCTTGAGTCCTGTTTGTTGTGCGTGGCTCTGTGATTGATCGTTTGCCTGGCAACGGTTGGCACGGCAAGGGCCGTCCCGCGCCTCAGGTTCTACGGGGCTGTTACATCCTGCCTGGAGCCTCATCATTGTAAGAGGACTGCGACCTGATGGCACACACGCCGGCATCACATGCCATCCGGTTGCAAATCCTCTTCATATACTTAGTAGTAGTAGTAAATGTTTGCCCTTTCCCACCCTGGATTGAGCTGCCTTCACAGCTGACGTAGAGGTCGTGGCACGGGTCATGCGGCACTTCGATTCAGAGGGTGTAATCCTGGAGGAGGCCGCCCAGCTGGGGGAGACCATCATCAAGGTGGGTTGGTTGGGAGGGGAAAAGATGGGATGCCTAATGCGTGCGTGCGTGTGGTGTGTACGACATCAGTTCCGCCCCCGGCCCCCCTTGCTCCCTCCCTTTCCTTCCCCCCTCGTTTTTTTAGTGCGGCATGGCTGTGTTTCCCGGCCACGTGGGCCTCCTGATTCTGTACGCCAACTTCCTGATGGAGGTCAAGAG